CTGCATGCCTCATCTTGTTACTCAAAACAACAGCTGCTGTTTGGATGTCAACTTCACACAAACTCGACTGTCTCCAGCAGCCAAAAGACGAATGCGATGTGTCAAATCATAACTAATGCGTTGAGGTCTTAAAACCCTGCCGGCGGTGAACGCTAACCAGGAGGCTGAAAGGAGCCGGATTTACTGGAGTTATGGACGTATTATGATGTAACGGGAGATGGAGCACTCGTCTTTGCGCGGTGGACATGGCTGGACTCTTGGGTGGCTCATAAATTGGAAGCATATTTGATGCTATTATACGCCATCAAATATGCTTCCATGCTATGGCTGTGGAAATTCAGTTGGACAGCGGCGAGAAGAAACACATTTTGGATTTTTCCTCATTTGAGGACAGCACTTTAAATTATCTTCTGGGAATTTATTGTATTGTTTATCGTGATAATTTGTTTTTGATTGATTTATTGTTGTCATGAGAAATTGCAATTGATCATGTTTTTAAAAAAACTAAAATGTCCATATTGTTGTTATTACTTTCTCCACAGTTTGTTCATCATTAAAATATCAATACATGTATTAAATGATGCTACTGAATGCAGTCTAGTGACTCAAATCCCACTGCTTCACGTCAACTAGTGTCCTAAAGAAGTACATTACAAATGGGAATGTTTTTCAAGAGTATTACTTGTTTGTGGGGGTATGATTAGTGTGTCATGCAGACAGCGCCATACAATTACCTAAAAGGAAGTAATAAATACTTCGCATCACTTTAATTATTACAATGGCACCACAAAATATCGTGATGAAACGTTAAATCCATATCGCCCACCCTACTCCGTAAAAAAGTGATATTGCAACAATTTTGTCCAAACTTTTGCACTCATAAGTTCATTTGTGTCGACAGCAAAAATCATATAATTGTTGTTTAAAATGAGTCAATTAAACTAAACATATAAAGAAAGAAAAACGCTGCCTTTAAGCCCGAGTTGTAACTCACGAGAACAAGGATAACCACACCACAGTGCTAATGACCCAGAGGCAGAAGGGGGCGAATACACTGAGATGGAGGAATGTCCTCACGAGGAGGGATCCCCTGAGCTCCTCGTGGTTCAAGAAGAGGAGGGCGTGGCCTTCATGTCTGTCTGCGAACATCCCACCAGACTGGAAGAGCAGAGGGTCAAAGCCGCAGCACTGAGATGCAGAGAGGCGGTGAAGGTGGAGGCAGGGAAAGGGAGGCAGCGGAGCAGTGATGATGGAGGAGAGGAATCAGCCGGCGGAGGAATACGACAGGGAGGCGGAGGCAGACTAACCTGAGGCTCAGAGGGTTCGCGGGAAATAAATGTGTAAATGGAACAGAACCTGTTTCACTGCTTCATGATGTGAAAATTACTTCACTATTATCATATCAGTGATCTGTAACACTTTAAATGAAAATTATAATTAGAAAAATGACAAAGAAACAAAATGACAAAGAATATGGTCACAAAAAGCACAAAGCAGCTGAGAGATGAAGAACAAAGTGGATAAAGTTAATGTTATACAATGGAAGGCCTTGCAAAAGTACACTGCTCAAAAAAATAAAGGGAACACTCAAATAACACATCCTAGATCTGAACGAATGAAATATTCTCATTGAATACTTTGTTCTGTACAAAGTTGAATGTGCTGACAACAAAATCACACAAAAATCATCAATGGAAATCAAATTAAATAACCAATGGAGGCCTGGATTTGGAGCCACACACAAAATTAAAGTGAAATGTTCCCTTTATTTTTTTGAGCAGTATATTATATTAACTCTATTTTTTTCATACTTTATTTTGGCTACCATTACAAACATGAATATGCTTTCTTGTGACTTAATGTGATAGACCAACATGAAGTTGTGTGCATGAAGGAAAATAAAAACAAAAACTGGAAAGTGTTAACATTTGCTTCATCTGACCAGAAGAACTTGTTCCACGTTTGCTGCGTCCCGCTTGGCTGCCATCATAAAAGCCAGTTTTGTGCACAGCTAACATTTACCTGAGCTGAGGATATATTCCACTGTGAAATAACATTTAAGAAATCATACTCTGAAATACAGTGCCCAACTGTGCACCACCTTGGCTTGTTTTTACTTTTGTAATGCTTTTACATCTATGTAGTTTTTTTTTTTCCCTCAAAAAGCCCAATTTTGTTGATAACCAATTTTTAAAAGTAATAAAACAGCAAAACGTCAAGAGTAATTTGTATATATAGGCATTGGAAAGTAGAATGAACCAGAGTTAACTTCAGTCACTCTGATTTTTGGTCTTACTCAAAAAGAAAGTACTCAATCTAAAAATATTCTAGTGGAACTTTTTTTTTCATAAAGTAGCAACCCAAAGGCCAAATCAGCTGATGAATATTAGCGATGAGCTTCAGCACAGTGACCTCAGTCATGGTGATTTTCTGAGACTCTGAATTCTGCGTTTTCATCATCTGTAAGCCACATTCATCAAGTACATAAAAAATAAATGAATACACGTACATGGAAAAGATGTAGAAAGAAAAGATAAAGAGTGAACTAGACGCCAGGGTGGAATGTTTTAAAATAATTTATTAGGAATTTTAAAAAGTTCTTTTTTCCCCCCCAAAATAAGGAATAAAATGACAGGGAAAAAAAAAAAAATCAGAAAAAGTTACAGTGTTGACAAGTTTTTTTTTTTTTCAATGAAACATTTAAAATTCCCGCAGCAGGTACAGCGAGTGTATCAAAATGTAAAACATGGTTATTTTGTAGATCAAGAGTGCGTTTTTCTTTTTCTTCAGCTAACATTTAAAGAAAACGTAACTTTATGGTGAACAGCCAGTGCAGCGTTCTAGTACCTCTCGTTTTGGTCTACAAATAAACAAAACAAAACAAAAAAAACAAAAATAAAAACAGATGTCACTTTGCTACAGACTGTGACCTCCAGTGGATATGCAGTGCTGGAAGGTGCGGACGGCGGGGTTTACTATCCGCACCCTGATATAGATGTTAATGTACTAATAATAATAATTAAAAAAAAACAGAAAATCAGATTAATATTTCACATTTTGCAAATGCCCCCCCAAGAAATACAGCACATGGCACACTGGAGACCAATGTGCATCAAACCACATGACACATTCACATGAAAATCACGGAGCAGTCCCCGACTCACGACAGCTCCTGCATGCAAAGTCCTTCATTTTCCTTCGCAAAACAAATCATTGGATATTAAAAATCAGGTAAAACAACATGATAACGTAAGAAAACAGCATGTTTCCTGACAGAGGAGTGTTTTCACACCCTCACCTCCCAAAAGCGGAAGGTGTTGTTCCAGACTCGGCCTCTTTTCCTGCTGAACTCAAAAGTAAAAGCGTCTCATCTCCAAGGAAGCCGTTGTCGACCTGACACACGATTTTACAAATGTCTGGAGAGAAACGCCGTGTCGTGGCTGGTCTCACACTGACAGACGAACTGAAATGTTCTTGACCTCCAGGCTGGCTTAAAACGCCTAACAAGTAAGATTCCCCCCGCCCCCACCCAAACACACTTTCTCCAAAAGCCTCCAACCTCCCAGACACTAAAAACGGCAGAGCCCTGCCACCCGGAAATCAGTCGTATTTACAATATTTTACAAAATATTACAGTTCCTGAAGGCTAAAAGAAGTACAGATGTAGCCATGTTTTTGGCAACCCAGGTAAAAATGTGTAGAAATCCTTAAAATAAATTCATCTATTGTGGCAGAAAAATATTCTCACACTGAAGAACAGAGAAAAATCCAAAAACAAAGAATGTTTTGAATAAAACTGACGGAAACATAATTACTGCTAAATCTGAAAATGCCATTTAATAAATTTATCTGAAAAATTTTGAAAGAATTTTTTTTGTTGTCGTTTTTGTAAATATTTTGTGACAGAGTTTCGTTCCTCTATGCCACTCTTCAAAATGGGAAAGACAAAAGATAAAATGCACTTGGAGTAGGGCGGATGTGGGGCGACACGAGTCAGGAAAAAGGGATAAGAAAATGTTTAAACAGGAATTGTTGTTTAAGAGTTAAAGTCAGAGCATCTTGGCATCACCAAGTGTCCATAGCAAGGAGGGGTCAGCAACCTTTAAAATCTACCCAGGAGCAATTTCTGCCCTCAGTCCAGCTGAATACATCAGGTTTAGATATTATCTGACCTTTCAGAAAAAAAAAAACATCTTGCAACTTTTGATAAATACTAAAGAAAATGTGTCATAATTTTTTAAAGAGAACCAATTTAATTCCCGTTTTTTAGTTTTAATATAAAGAAAAACATCAAACTTTGTCAAAAGATAATGGCTACATTTTCTTATATGGAATGTTGATATTTGCAGTTTCCAGCTCAGCAATAAGAAAAATAAAATCTAAATAAAAATAAGTACAACTTTCGGAGTCATTCTGCTGTGGGAATCAAACGTAATTATTCCGTGAAGAGAAAATGAAAACTCGCTAAAACCTGCATTTGTTTACATACATTTTTAAAACTTCAGTTGTTTCTTAACCCTGAACTAGACGCCATCCACATGCATCCTGCTTGTTTGGTGGATGCCCTTTTCTTTTTCCCCACCCAACAAATAGATGTACTCAAATTACACGTTGGATTTTTCTGCATTCTTTGGCGTGAGACGATACCACTGCGATAAAAGATGACTATAATTTAAAGCTTTTTAAATACTTTTCCTGGGGCCCAATAAGTCTGTCCGCACTGTTCGATGGTAATTAGTGTAACAACTCATGGCTAAAATCTACCAAGATATACAATTCCTGGCGTTATTTCAAAACATTAGTTTTACGTGTCGACATTCAGTGTAAAATAGAGAAATGTACAGTCATTTTACAGCTTCAAAACAAGCATGTTGGAGATCTAAACTAGCCTTCTCTCAGAGAGATCACTTTTTGGAGAGGACAAGTAGCTAAATAAAATACAGCTAAAACAAAAAACAGCATGACAAAAACAACAAAAATACAGCATTCGAATGTGTTGCTATAACATGTAGTGATAAGTTTCTTTTTCTCTTTTTTTTTTTTAAGTTTGTTTCATTTGCTAAAAAGGTGGAGTTTAGTGAGGTGTCAGTAAGGTGGGCAGGACGCGGCTGACACCGGGCGAGGTGGGGCGACTGTCCGGCCACCCGAACGCAGCAGAGGAGACGTGGACTGGACAGAGACGGACCAGATCAGCTCCGACGTAGTTTCAACTCCTTCCAGCTGTCAGTCTACGGCTCTGCACTGACACACAAAGCAGAGCCGGATTACTCACGGGTCGGCCAAACCGGGGCCGTCTAATTTGCTGCGCCTCGAGAGGCAGAAGCTAGCGCGGCGGACCGACTCACGCTCTCAGTGATAGCCGTTAGTGAAGGCGGTGGCAATCAGAGGGCCCTGTGGGAGCAAGCACGCCAGGTTAGAGTTTGCCGGTAGACAAAATGCGCACTTTGATTTTAATCTCTTCTAATGTGTCGGATTATTAAAACAGCTGCTGCACCGGAGCAAAAAAAGCCAAAACAATCCGTGCTGTTTGGTTGAAGAGGTGGACCAGGGGTGCACCGATTGCAGCTGTCAGGCCGATCACCGATCTCTAAAAAGCCTCACCTGCCAATTAGGATTTTGGCAAATTTATTTGTCTGAAAGATCGTAGATATAGCAACAAAGTTGGTAAATTGGAACCTGTACGGTGACTGAGAAACATATCACGATATAAAGGTTTCATATCAATCGATATCGGTGACTATTGGTTAATTTTTTTGTTTTAAATATCTAAAATACTGCCAAACCATTATTTATTTTTAGGTAATTTTGAGGGACAGTAACAAAATCTTAAACTGCTGCTGCGCAAGTTACTCTACAAACTGTTGCTAGGTAACCAAAGAGTGACTCAGCTGATATCACCAAGCTTGCTTAGCTAGCCGCGGGAGATTGAGCGGCTAAAGTTTATCCTCTGCTGGAACATTAGTCAATAGCTACGCTAAGAGATAAGTTCTGGAGAAGTTTAAAACGGGTTAGGTTATCAAACAATATCCTAAGCTAACCTGTGCTAACTCGCAGAGCACTGGAAATGGAAAAGGTTTGGCACAACTGCAGGCCTGCCACGATACGGACATCCGTCTAACCTGAACGAACATCAAGCAGAGAAGCAGCCAAAAGGCCTACAGTGATTCTGCAACAGCTAGAGGGGTCCAAAGCTGAGGTGCGACAATCTGTTGTCTGCACTACTAGCTAGAAAATGCGATGTTTGCTTCCACATGTTTACTGTTCACTCCGGTCAGATGGAAGCAGCTAAACTTGGAAAAGTTAATCTCTCAGCAAGACAAACTTAAATCAGTTTAAATCAGCATGTTTATGTGGAATGGTCCACTCCAAGTCCAGACTCTGGGTTACCACAGTTTTCAGATACTGAGTTTGAGCTATTTTTGCAATGAAGAGTTGGCAAAAAGTTTGGGACATACCCTGAAAGACCAGCAGAGAAAGGTGGAGAGGAGACGCACGTTTTCATTTTTATTTCTTTTTGAATTGAAAACCGTGTGCTACTTCCTTCCACTTCGCCTTCACACACCACTTTCTATTGGGGTGTGAAGTAAGATTACAATAACACACACTGATGTTGGAGATTTTGCTGTAATAAAAAATATAAAACATTTCAAAGGACATGAATGCGCTGCAGGGGCTTCTATTTCCGTCAAGCCTTTTCCAAAAAGCACCTATCTATTTTTATGGCAGAACATAGCAACCAGTGCTTCTGTAATTTCAATCCATTCGCCAGCAAACAATTTGCTCGGCAACAGTCGACCCGTTTGATCCGTGGAGCGAAGCAGCACCCTGCAGGGCTGAAAAGCGATGCAACCTCAGAGCCAAGGACTACGGCTTCTCAAGAAACGGCCACTTGAGGCTGTCTCACCACACCCTTCCAACAATACCATGAGGACAAGTCCAACGTGTTGTCCTCTGATTACACGTTTGAACTCACAATGGGCCATTCAAAACAAAAAAAAAAAGTTTGAAACCACAAGTCAGGCATTTGGATCTATATATTTTTACTTTTTAGCATAACTGTGTCCAGTTATTGTAGCTTTACTTTGGTATTTAATGGTTTTGGGCTAGACGTGTTAAGCAGGTCACAACAATGACGTTGCACTGTGAAATAAAGAAACTGTAAGCGGTGTGGATTTTCAGAAATTTACCAAGTTATATTTTTTACCTCTGAGCCACTTTCACAGCCTGCTGAGCAGAAATTCACCAGTGAGTCGTGGTAACTCACCCCCAAACTGTGGCTGAAGCCAGTGCTCGGGGCCGGGCTCGCAGCGCTGAGGTAGCTGCTCACAGCCGACTCCTGACTGGCCGTCCCGTAGAGGTCGGCCATCGGACCCGGGCTGCTCGTTCCTAGAAATCCTGCGGAGCGAGAAGGGGTGGAACCTGGAAGGGAAAGAAAGCAGCTTCACTGACGGACGACCCGCTAATCGCTGCACTTTATTTGGACTTCTGTGTTCTAGGAAATACAATGTTGTACCTCTAACGACTGCCGCCGCCGCTGCTGCCGCTGCCATTGGTCCATACGCTGTGAGAGGAATGGCTGAGAAGGCAGAGGTGGAAGGAAAAAAAACACAAAAAAAAAAAAAAAAATCAAGGTTTTTCATCCCTGGTTCTGAAAAACCTGACATGCAACTGCAGCGTCGCCCACGGATCTCACTCCAGTGACCACAAAATGTCATTTAGCCACACAAACAGATCATTTTAGCAGAGAACAATGGAGGCCATCTTGGTAACTGTCAGCAATCCTGCCTTCAGATGGAAGCCGAGGAGGATCGACAAACACAAACATGCAAACCAGAAGTGATGAGGTGATGTGCCGACATGTGGAGTAGCAGACTGAAAAGATGCTGCTTGTAAAGTCCAGAGGAGGGGCTGACTGACCTGTGAGCTCAGGGGGGTGGGGTGAAGTCAGAAGGGGAGTCCTCTCTAAGTGGAATTCTAAAACAGAAACATCAGAGTGCTGTTGAGACACACACTGTCAACAACACACCAGCAAGGACAACACATACACACACACACACACACATTAAAGGCGAGGGAGAAGCCTCGGAGGTGAGGAGCTGAATAAACAGGATGTCAGGAACAAACGCACAAAGCAGCTGAAGGATAGAACTGATGAACCCCCCACCAAAAAATGAAAATAAAATTTCTCCCAGTAATTATTCTGAAACGGCAGGAAATAAAATAAGTGTCACAAACGCCGTCACCCAAGCTAGAGACTCCAATCGGAGTGAGTGATTTCATATTTAAAAAGCAAGCGTTCTAATTTTCTTTGGTGGAAATCTAATTTTTAGGGTTATTTCCCAGATGATCAGCACACGTTCTACTGTAGCACACAGCCATGCCGTCTTTAACACACGCGCACACACACGCACACATGCACACACACACAGACACTGGTTCAAGCTAAGCAACGCCACTCCCTGATATTTACAAGCAGCCATTTACACTCAGTGTTTCATCTGTGGAGACATGTTTGTATTTGTGACAGTGCGTCTGCTGCCAGCTGCGATATGAAGCTGCTCTTTAGAGTTTAAAATGTGATCATGCAGCGCTAACACCTGGGATGAGATGTGAAAAGACATTCAACTTGCTCTTACTGAATCACATGCAGAAGGTATTGCGATTATTAGGGGTGTACAGATTGCAGTTTTTCCAGCCGACCGATCACAGATCTTCTAAAAGCCTGGAATGCCGACTCCGAATTTGATCGATTTAATTTTTCCTAAGTTAGCAACAACGGGATGACTATCGTGCAGAAGTGACCCAGTGGTAAACCCTCTCTCACAGGAGTCAGACGTCAGCCGATCTCTCAAAATGAAGGAAATCGGGACCAATTTCTCAACTGGTCGACTTATCGAAGCATCCCTAGAAAGTATTATCTGAAAAGCTGATTCGTTTTCTTGGCATCTGGTATTAAGGACTAGGAATTACCTCATATATTATTTTAAAAGCTAATCTTGCAGTGTGTGTGAATAAAACATGATCCTACAGCAGGGCTCTGCAACCTGCAGCTCCAGAGCCAAGAGTGTCTCTTTGGACCTCCTACAATGGCTCTTTAAAAGTGAAAAATGATAAATATCCAGCTAATGTTTTGTTTTTTGAATATAGACACTAGCAAGTGTAGGTTTTAGTATTTTAATTTTTTTAAAATGGAATAAGTGCATTAAACTACAACAGAATGACACTGAAGGAATCTAGTGTCAATCAAAATAAAGATATTTTTTATATCCATTTTTCTTGTCATGAGGTTGGAATCTATATGCTTTTATTTTTACGTAGTTATATCAGCGTCCCATAGAAGAAAATGCATCCATCCTCTTTTTGCAAAGAGTTTCACATTTTAATTTGTTTTAAAATCCAAAAATAGGAAATAAGATTGTGGCGCTTTAAGAACACCACCAAATTTCCTGCAGCAGTGAATGTTTATCACAAATGAAAGCTGTCTTTCTGTGACTAAAGATGAGTTTTATTTAGTTGGAATGAGGGTGAAAAAAAAATTGCCGTTTGGATTGTTAAGGTTGCAGACTCCTGTCCTGAAATCATGTTGTAGTATTAATGCAGGACATCTAAATACACAGACACTCTGGGTGCAATGTCAGCAAAAAACAAAATGTGTTTGTGTCGTCTTAAACATATAAATTAGGACTATAATCGCTCTACTGCTGGGAATAAGTTAGACCTTAGAGATGCACTGAGAAATCAGCCGGTGACTGGGATCGGGTGATTTTCAGCTCGATTGATCCTGAGCAGATGTTTTTCTGATCAGTGAACGCCCCGGGCTAACGGGTCAACAACGTTGTTCATGAGCGAAGACGACTCAAGTTATCCAAATGCACAAAGATATATTATCAAAAACCATATTTTCCATGACCTATTTGCAGTTTATTCTGGCTGTGACAGAGTGAGTTTACAATTTAAAGCAGATAACAGGAAGGCTGAACATATTACAACCAGTTTTCTGTTCATCCTTTGAGCTGTGTGGTCGCTGAGCACATCAAAAGTATCGGAAACCTTTTGGAAATTAAGTAACAATCTGCAGCCTATACAACACACACAACTATTAACAAAAGATGCTAAATCCAGTTTAAAGTGTCAAATCTGTGATCATTTGGTTTGTATTTTAATAAAAACAGATTTATAGCGACTGCTCTGCGACACACACACACACACGCACGGCTTTACTCCACCTCTAACATGAATAATTAGTGACTGCCAACAGCAGCAAGGCCACAAAAACTGATTTAAATGCAGTTCTTATAGTTCTTAAAGAGGTCAAATAATTACAAAATGTGAAAATCACCACTAATCTGATCAGTGCATCTCTAAACATTTGTCTGTTTTAAAGAGCTGCTGAAACAGACAAAATATGACAATTTTCACTGGATTCTTTTAAATGTCTACAACTTTTACTTATTACCTAGGAAACCCAGTGAAACCACAGCCTGGTGTCTGGTAGCATTAAACAAATGACGTCTCATTCGTCACATTCACATATTCAAACAGTAAAGTGAATCTATTTGACATTTCTTCCCTTCTTTCACTTTTGTCCAAATGACGGCATATCTCCTTTGTAGTGGTTAGACACTGGGAAATGTTACGCTCTTGTTCTCCACCTGGTGTTTATATTGTCATTATATATGCAATGAATCACAACAACCTGAGTTTTTGACCAGCAAATTACATAATAATTCACATATACACAACAACTTAGCTTGTCTTACTGTTTTCTCTCTTTTAGTTTTTACATAAACCAATTTTCTGAGTACCGTTTTTTTGGCTTTGATTGTCCAAACTATACACCGCTGTTTCTTTAATTTATTTTATTCCTGAGTTATTACGAGATGGAAACGTGTGTGAGCGTGCTGTGATTACCAGGGAACTGATAGGTATATCCAGGAGTGATGCCCGCGTAGCTCCGGCTGGTGTAAGTGGCGGTCTGGAAGCCGGGATAACCTGCAGGGCACAGAAAAATCAGCGTAAATATCCGGATCCCTCCGCAAAACAACGAAACGCACCGGAAACATTAGCACCGGTGGAGGACGTATTGACTCAACACTGACGCCTTCATGAGTCTGTGGATGTAATTCCACACTTGCGCTCCGGATTTCTTTACAAGAACTGGAACGGGGAGCTCACTGGTTTAGGCTTCGGTTTCACTCTCAGCTGAACTCACAAAAAGCAGATTTTCACTGGACGCAACCTGATCTCAATGCCTCGGCTAGAAGAAACACCAGTAGGCACAAGAAGGTGTTATTTATTTTTTCTCCAAACTGTGACTGAGCATAACTTTTTTTTTTTTTAAATGTTCACTTGCTAAGTAATGAATGAACTGAAAGACAGAAAGCACTTCTTAGTCTGAACAGTAGGTGGTAGCATTGGCATGGTAAGTTAAGTTGCTGGTGCTGTACAATAAAAGAAGAAAATTATAAGATTAGAAAGAAATATTTGAATGAAGAAGTGACAAAAAGTCTTAAAGAGCAACAGCAACAACAGAGAGGTTTCGGGAAAAGTTCCTTCAGTCTGAAGCTGAACTAAAAGGCAATCAGAGGTCTTAAGTGGCATTTCAACATGAAAAAAGTGAAAAGCAGGTGACATAACTACAATATTTACAAGTGGAAGGAAAAAATATATAGGTTTTGACATTTATTTTTAGAAAAGTACTGCAAGGATACGTAGTTGCCTTAATACTTTCTTAGCTCTGGTTGTGCGTTTAGTTCCCCTGTTTCTAGTTTTTTTAGGCTTCTGACAAGTTTTATTTCAGGATCGTCTTGTATTTACCGCCATCTAGCTTCCCATCAACTCTGACCAGCTTCCATCGCCCTACTGAAGAAAAATGTCCCCACAACATCATGCTGCCACTACCGTGTTGTACTGCAGCGACAGTGCGTTCAAAGCAGTTAGTTTCCTGCACTGTAACAATTCCCACATTTTGAAAATCATTAGATCATCTTCTTGCTAGCCTGGGACTTTCCACAATGGCTCTATAGCTAAAAATGATAACTAACTAACTAATGTTTTTAAATATAGATATATTAATATATGCAAGTTTTAGTAGATTTTTTCCATTTAGCAAACTCCTGCAATTGGAAAAACGCTAAAATTACCAGTTATATCCTTTATATATATTTTTCTAGTCATTTGGTTGGAAACCATGTGCTTTTTAAATTATTTTTTACATAGCTACATCAATATCCAATAGAAGAAACTGTGTCCATCCTCTTTTGAAAAGATTTTAGTTTGTTTTAAAATTTAAAAACAGAAATAAAATTGTTGTTCTTTAAAAATGACAGCAAATATTTATCAAAAATGAAAGTGGAGGTTTTTTTTTAAAACTTCATTTTAACATTTGTAGCTCTAAGCTAGTTTTATTTAGCAGGACTCTGGATTGTTAAGTTTGGTTTACTCCATAGAAGTTCAAACAAATTACTCTGAAGACGATTGCTGGTGTGGCTAATGTGAATACTTATACAGCAAGGTTGTGTTGCTTTCATTTCTTTTCCACTGGTGGGCACAATTAAATGTAGTGCAGACAGCTACAAGCTGCTGAAGGCGGCGGTGGACATTATCGCTCAGCTCCCCCAGAGACGTCATGCGACCTTTAAGGCAGCGGAAACGGTCAGCCTCACGTGAGCCGCCACCGCGTCCTTCCTGACCCGATCGATAGCAACTCACCCAGCATACCGATCCCTAGCATGAAGGCGTCCATCCCGTAGGGCATCACCCGAGAGCGCCCCCTGGCCGAGCCGGTGGGGGACATCACCTCCTTGGGCTGAGCTTTCTTACACTCCACCTGTTTTGGTGGGAACGGGGGGGGG